TTTAAACCGAAAAATGCACGCTTATTCACGGATTAATGCCTGTTAATGCTGCATTACCGATGAGAAAACTTCGAGGGGGCTGGCCCCCTCATAGCCCCTTCTTGGCCCCGTTTCAAGAGGGGGCCAAGTGCTGGCAGGGTACTATAAAGGTTTCTCTTGGAAAGGTCGACGGTAATTTTCTTTTGAAGCTCCTGTCTGAGGACTGATTTCAGGGACTTCTGAAATTTTGACTGTCTTCATACAAGGGTCTTTAAGCGTATCAAGCCAACGATGAACACCGAAGTTTTTAGCAGTAATTATGAAAAAGACGACTTTTGCAGGTGCCGACTAAGACACGAGGGTTAGGGAGATGATTGCAGGGGCGTTTGACTTCTAACTGACAAGTAGCGTGGTCGAGCCCGAGGTGTTCCTCTCTTCGGGGTTGGGAAAGACCGGCTGCCAAATCCTAAATAGCAATATGAACTCTGGACAAACTCGCACAGAACTCGTTTCACGAGTTACGCGAGCTGCATTGGAGCTCTGATGTAGTCATTGATTCGAACTCGCACAGAGCTCGCTAAAACATGCCTGAAACGAGCTCCCAAAAACGACTTGCGAGCTCGTTCCGAGCATGACCCGAGTTCCAAGAAGCAAACTCCAGCGCTTACTCACCCAGGTGTCCCTCTCCCCTCTATTGTCCCACCGCTGTACATTTTCCCCATTATGGCCAATTAAAGTAATCAAAGGGACACATGTCAAGGTGAAAGGTACTATATTCGTAAAAAATACATCATATATAGTGATTGTTTGAATTAACTAAACCTTTAATGCTTTTGGTCCCAATTTGGAGCCGTTGGATCGTCGGTTGCTATGTGGAGGTTTAAAATAGACAGATTTCGCAAGGGTAAGTGAACACAAATCATAGTCACTAGACGGACAATTTTACTTCTAATTTCTTGCTTACCTTTACGTCACTTGCATTACGTTGTGGTTGCCATTGCTGCTTTGCCTGACCGGATACGCTTGCGCTACATGGGACAGGAACCTTTTCCAGGCTTCGGGCAAGTTATTTGCCTTCACGCCATACCAAACGCGGTATTGGGCCTTGTCGATGTGTGCACATACATCATTTGATGTCAAGGTCAAGGCGCGCAACCCAGTTTAAAAGATAAGTGAAACTTTGCATTTACTTGGATATTCTTAAGCAATTAACGCCTGTTTGTTTACCGGAGTCGTGTTTAAAATCGTCTTTCACTACAAGGTATAATTTTTCTCGGTTTTGTTTGACAGTCTGGCAAAATAGTCGTATTTTGTAAAAAAAAAAAACCTTTGTAGTGACACCGTTCCAGACTATCTCTTTCGAGTTTTCGTAGTTAAATAACAATAGTACCTGTTACTCAGTGAGCTTTTCTGTACGTTGGCAACGCTTTGATCCTTATACTGTAACGAAAAACTTATCTTGTCTGTAATGCTAAAAGACGAAAGCTTGCGGCCTCCCCACCGTCTCCGGGTGCTAGAATTGCCACCGAAGACATAGCAGTTGCTAGCATATGTTGTTCGCCGTCTGCAGGTATGATTAAATCACAAATCCCTTTAGTACATGTAAAACGTCTTGACGCCTCAGTGGTCCGAAAATACGCCTCTGCTAGTCTTAGCAGGCCATAAGCCGACGAAATAGTCGACCAGTGGATTTATGGCGACATAAACAGCACTTCTAAAATGTAATTGAACAAGCTTTTAAACGTATTGAGATAATAAGTTCTAAAACTGAGGAAAGAATTAAACGCAAGCATAATTTTGTACTGCGAAACATCCCGAGCCATTTATCTGCTATGGAGGGAGTGCATTAGTTCCTACAAAGTTGTGGCTTGAGTTACACTGTCGCATGAGCTAAACG